ACCACTTGTTTAGTGACTGTCTGAATAGCATGGAAGGATGGGGTTTGGGGTAATCTGGCTACAGGGAGTCCCTGTCTTACGACCACTCGTTTAGCGACTGTTCAAAGAGGATGAAAAAACTGGCCTTGGCTTACAGAAGAGTCTTCGACTTACAACCATTCCTTTTAGCGACAGTTCAAGCAGGATTGATTGATGGGCTTTGGGCAATCTGGCTGCAGGGAGTCCTTGATTGACAGCAGTTGTTTAGTGACCGTTCAAAGTTCCATCGGGACTGAAAAAAGTGACTTATGACCGTTTTTCTCACTTAACGAACGCTGCAGCAGCCCCGGGGGTCACGTGATCAAAATACGGACGCTTGGCCACTGGCTCACATTTACGACGGTCGCAGCATCCCCGGGGGGTCACGTGATCCCTTTTTGCGACCTTTTGATTAGCAAAGTCAATGGGGGGGGGAAGCCGGATTCACTTAACAACCGTGTGACTAAGTGAACAACCGTGGGGGTAAAGCTCACTTAGCTGATGTCTCACTTAGCAACGGAAAGGTTGGGCTCAACTGTGGTCGTAAGTCGAGGACTCTCCCGGTAATGTTTAAATAACTCATGATTAGCCGCCCTGAGTCCTACAAGGAGAAGGGCGGGATATAAATCTAAATAATAATAATAATAATAATAATAATTATCTTGAAAAACAGGGTCCTTAAAAACCTGCACCGCCCAATTTGGGCGGCTCGCACTCGCCCAGACACACCTGGCCCAGCTGGGCTCAGCTCACCTGTGGAGGAGGGCCGGTCTTCCCACGACCAGGTAGGGGTCTGCCGGTGATAGTCGCCTTCCGAGTGGACCGAGGAGACCGAGGAGGGTCGCTCCGTTCCCAGGTAGCCTTGACCAGGAATTGGGGATTTGGACTTCCTGCTCCCGGATTTGCCCATCAGCTTCTGCTTGCTGACCCCCCCACCTGGAGGAGGAGGAGGAGGAGGAGGAGGAATCGAGTTAGGGGGGGCACCAATAATAATCAGCGGATTTCATATCTTAAAGCAGGCTGGCTGGGGAATTCTGGGAGTGGAAGTCCACCCCTCTTAAAGCAGGCTGGCTGGGGGATTCTGGGAGCTGAAATCCACCCCTCTTAAAGTGTGCTGGCTGGGGAATTCTGGGAGTGGAAGTCCACCCATCTTAAAGCAGGCTTGCTGGGGAATTCTGGGAGCTTAAAACCCTTAAAACAGCTTAAGGAGGTGAAACATTGATTTAAATGTACTTTTTCTGTTGTTTGGGATGACCCGTGTTTAAAAGAATCATGGTTTTCTTCTCTCTTAGGGACCACCTTGTCCATCACAGGCTTAAGCATAGACCCACGTTTTGCAAAAATGTTATTATCTTCCTGTATGATAGGAAGATCCAAGTCATTTGGGGGTCCTTTTGTACACCAAAAATGGTCAAAAGTCACTTTCTTGCTGCAATTTACCTGCTCAGCTCTGGGGACATATGTGCTTGTGTGTGTGTCTGTCTGTGTCTTTGTGTGAATAATGCAACCTTTTTGTAAGATATCTATATCAGCTGAATTCAGAAACTCCCCAACTCAAGCACTATAGTTAGTCCTCGACTTACGACGAAAACCGAGCCCCACATTTCTTTTGTTAAGCAAGGCAGTTGGAGTGTGTTTTTTGGCCGCATTTTACGACCTCTCTTGACACCGTTGTTAAGTGAATCACTGCCGTTGTTAACACGGTCGTTAAGTGAATCTGGCTTCCCCATGGACTGTGCTCATCGGAAAGGTCGCAAAAGGGGGATCAGATGACCCCGGCACCCTGGAACCGTCGCAAGTACGAGTCGGTTGCCCAGCTTCCAAATTTCGATCACATGACCGTGGAGGACGCCGCAGCGGCCGTTAAATGTGAAAAACGGTTCTTTTACCAGTGCCGTTATAACTGTGGAACGGTCACTAAACCGAGCGGGGTTATAAGCCGAGGACTGCCGGCGACAACAAAGCCGTCCCTTTTTCCTCGCTAAGTCGTTCTTCCGCTTTTTTTTAAAAAAAGATTTAAATTTAAATTCAACCGCCACAAAAACCAGCAGGAAAGATTTAAGACCGAACCTGCTGGAGGGGGGGGGGGAGAATGGGAGTTGTAGTCCGACACCTTGCAAAGAACCCAGGTGGCAGGGAATTCGTCAGCATGTCTACCTGCACGGGGAGGGGGGGGCCCCAAACTGGGCCTGCATGGCTCACCTGGGTTGGGAGAGGGGTTGGTTTCCTCCCGCCGCGTTTCGCTGTTGGTCGGTAACGACCCGCCGGGCACCATCCCCAGGGGCTGCGCCATGACCAGGCTGTGGTCCTCGCCTTTGTCGTCGAAACTGCCCATCAGGGCTTTGCGGATGATGTCCTCCAGGCCCAGGTTGCTGGCCGGATCGGCTAAAGACGAGCCCCTGGTGCTGACCGAACCTGGAAGAAGGGGGGGAGGAGAAGCGATGGGTCCAGGGGGAAGGAGGGGGGAGGCTCCTGCGAGAGGCCGCCGGGTAGAGGCTCGGACTGGACGGCGATGTTTCTCTGTGTCGTGTATGTGTGGGGGTGTGGATGGTGGTTGTCTTTTGAGGGCCGAATGCAACGGAATTTCATGTTGGCGTAATGCGGATTAGTCCACGTTTAAAGGGACAATAAAGTTGCTATTCTATTCCATTTCGTTCCATTCCATTCCATTCTATTCTCAATAAAGATTCTACTCTATTCCATTTTCTATTCTATTCTATTCTATTCTATTCTATTCTGTTCTGTTTTGTAATTCTATTCTATTCTACCCTACTCTATTCTATTCTACTCTACTCTGTTCTATTCTATCCTGTAATTCAATTCAATTCTATTCTGTTCTATTCTACTCTATATCCTGTAATTCTATTCCCATTCCTCTATTCTATTCTATTCTATTCTATTCTATTCTATTCTATTCTATTCTGTAATTCTATTCTGTTCTGTAATTCTATTCTATTCTATTCTACAATCTGTTTATTTTATTCCATTCCATTCCATTCCATTGTTTCTATTCTACTCTACTCTACTCTATTCTATTCTCTATTTCTATTCTTATTTCTATTCTATTCTACAATGTTTATTCTATTCCATTCCATCCTGTAATTCAATTCAATTCAATTCAATTCAATTCAATTCAGTTCAATTCAGTCCTGTCCTGTCCTGTCCTGTCCTTTAAATCTATTCTATTCTATTCTGTTCTGCTCGTTTCTGGAGTCCTTACCTGAGGTGGTGACTGCTGGCAAGTTAAATATTTCTGTCCCAGGTTGAGCGGCTGCTGTTCACAGAGAGAGAAAGAAGAGACACGGGTTACTTTCCAAGGTTGAAGAGATCAATGACACCGACAGGAGAAGAGAACATTGGTAACTCAGGGTCAAACTGCGGGGGCGCTGCCTGAAATGGGTGCTTTTCTTGCAGAGGTTTCATGACCCAACTACGTAACGTCATCAGTGCTGGGGAAGGAATGGGGCTGGGGGTGTGTGGAGGAGGAGGAGGAGGAGGACTATAGGCCCTGTGCTGCTCTCTATTTTCTTGCAGACATTTCATGACCCAACTTGGTAACGTCATCAGTGCTGGGGAAGGAATGGGGCTGGGGGTGTGTGGAGGAGGAGGAGGAGGAGGACTATAGGCCCTGTGCTGCTTTCTGATGCTTTCTTGCAGACGTTTCATGACCCAACTAGATAACGTCATCAGTGCTACAAGAGAGTAGGGTTTGCTCTCTGTTTACGTACAATAGCTTGCGCTGCCAATGTTGGAGTTGGGGCTGTTACTTTGATTAGGGTATGGTTTCCTGCTTGATTGTTTGTTGGGTGTCAGAATGGGACAAGCCGCCGCGGGCCAATTCAATAATTCAGTTAAATTATTTAAAACAATTTAAACAATGATTTTAATTTTTGTCACTCGCACATCGTGTTGTCCCTCCGTTCGCACCCTTTCTATAGTGATTCTATTCCACCATTTCTTCGATATTAGTGTAAAGTTGGCGAGTTGGCCACGGCAAGTTCTCCTAGGACCTGCCTGGTGTTAATCCCTGCTTTTTTTTGTGTTGGTTGCTGGAGAGGATATTTCCTGGTCTTTTTTATTTGGAAACTGATCAAGGAGAGAAGCAACCTGGAATTAAGGAGAAACTTCCTGACAGTGAAGACAATCAACCAGTGGAACAGCTTGCCTCCAGAAATTGTAGGTGCTCCATCACTGGAGGTTTTTAAGAAGAGACTGGACAGCCATTTCTCTGAGAGGGTATAGGGTTTCCTGCCTGAACAGGGGGGTTGGACTAGATGACCTCCAAGGTCCCTTCCAGCTCTATTCCATTCCATTCCATATTCTATTCTATCCCATATTCTATCCCATATTCTATTCTATTCTATTCTATTCTATTCTATTCTATTCTATTCTATTCTATTCTATTCTATTCTATTCTAATATTCTATTCTATTCTATTCTATTCTATTCTATTCTATTCTATTCTATTCTATTCTATTCCATTCCATTCCATATTTTCTTTTCTATTCTAATATTATTCTATTCTATTCTATTCTATTCTATTCTATTCTATTCTATTCTCTTTTTAGATTCTTATTGTGTCTTTTGAATGGTGGGCAAATGTGGTTTATCTCCAGGTGCCTGTGGATGCCTGATAGTCCATTGGTCCACTGACAAACTCCACCCTTATATAAATAAGCAGCACACCCGACCCTTTCTTACACTGATGGTGTTCCCTAATTGGGTCATGAAACTTCAGTAAGAAAAACACCAAATTCAAAGAGCACCAAGGACCCCACAGAGTTCTCCTCCTCCTCCTCCCCTCCGCAAACCCCTCTCCCTCCCAGCACTGAAGATGTTGCCTAGTTGGGTCATGAAACGTCTGGAGGAAACCACCCAGCTCAGAGAGCATCAAGGACCCCCACAGTCCTCCTCCTCCTCCCCCCTTGCTCTTTTTCCACAAACCTTCCTCCCTTCTAGCACTGATGATGTTCCCTAATTGGGTCATTAGACATTTGCAAGAAAGTCAGCCTCAGAGAGCACCAAGGACCCCACAGTATTCCTCCTCCTCCTCCTCCTCCATCCTGCAAACCCCTCTCCCTCCTAGCACTGATGATGCTATCTAGTTGGGTCATGAAACGTCTGCAGGAAAACCACCCAGCTCAGAGAGCACCAGAGACCCCCACAGTCCTCCCCTCCTCCTCCTCCTCCTCCCCTCTTCCTCTTCCTCCTCCCTTCCTCAAACCACACTCCCTTCGAGCACTGATGATGTGACCTAGTTGGGTCATGAAACGTCTGCAGGAAAACCACCCAGCTCAGAGAGGAACAAGGACCCCACAGTCCTCCTCCTACTCCTACTCCTCCTCCTCCTCTCCAAAACCCCACCTCCCTTCTAGCACTGATGATGTTACCTAGCTGGGTCAGGAAACATCTGCAGGAAAGCCACCCAGCTCAGAGAGTACCAGGGATCCCCACAGTCCTCCTCCTCCTCCTCTCACAACCTCTCCCTCCCTCCTAGCCCCGATGATGTTACCTCCTTGGGTCATGAAACGTCTGCCGGAAAGCCACCCAGCTCAGAGAAGCACCCGGGACCCCCAGAGAAAGTGGGGGTGGGCTGGGGGAATGAAAACCAAGAAGACCTCCGAGGAAAACAAGTCCTACCCATTTCGGATTCGCTTCCCCCGCACGAGTTCAGCTTACGGAAGATCTCCTGCTTCTTCGACTTCACCATGGGCGAGGTGTTCTCCAGCTTGGTGAAGAAGGAAGGCAGGTAAGTGATGCTGCCCGGAGAACGGGAGTCTGTCCTGTGAGGAGGCAAAGAGGGAAGCGAGAGAAAAAATAAATAAGAAATAAAAAATAAATGCCTGCTGGACCAGAAGGAAAGCATGTTCCTCCACTTTCTGCCTCGCATGCTTTCAAATAGCTTGACTCCCTCTTCTTTGGGGCAGCCCCTGAGATACTGGAAGGCTGCTATCGTGTCCCCCCTCGTCCTTCTCTTCATTAAACTAGACAGACCCAAGTCCAGCAGCCTTTCCTTATATGCTTTAGCCTCCAGTCCCCTAATCATCTTTGTTGCTCTTCTCTGCACTCTTTCCAGAGTCTCAGCATCTTTTTTAATAGAATGGCAGAGTTGGAAGGAACCTTCCAAATCAAGATTGACTGCAATGAGCAAGCAGTAGACGCTCAATCCAATCCAATCCATCCATCCATCAGAACACAGCTGGAAGGAACCTTGGACGTCTTCTAGTCCAGGGGTCCTCAACCTTCACAACTTTAAGACTTGTGGACTTCAACTCCCAGAATTCCTCAGCCAGGCAAGCTGGCTGAAGAATTCTGGAAGTTGAAGTCCACAAGTCTTAAAGTTGCCAAGGTTAATAATAATAATAAAGTTGGAAGGGACCTTGGAGGTCATCTAGTCCAACCCCCTGCTCAGGCAGCAACCCTACATCATTTCAGATCAAATGGCTGTCCAGTCTCTTCTTAAAAACTTCCAGTGTTGGAGCATTCACCGCTTCTGGAGGCAGGTTGTTCCACTGGTTAATTGTTCTAACTGTCAGGAAGTTTCTCCTTAGTTCTAGGTTGCTTCTCTCCTTGATGAGTTTCCACCCGTTGCTTCGTGTCCTGCCTTCAGGCGCTTTGGAGAAGAGCTTGACTCCCTCTTCTTTGGGGCAGCCCCTGAGATACTGGAAGACTTACTATCCTGTCCCCCCTCATCCTTCTCTTCATTAAGGTTGTTCTAGTCCAGCCCCCTGCTCAAGCAGGAGAACCTATACCGTTCCAGACAGGCGGCTGTCAATCTCAATCAGAATAGAGCTGGAAGGGACCTCGGAGGTCTTCTAGTCCAGCCCCCTGCTCAAGCAGGAGAACCTATACCGTTCCAGACAGGCGGCTATCCAGTCTCTTCTTAAAAGCTTCCAGTGTTGAAACACCCACGACTTCTAGTGGCAAGCAGTTCCACTGGTTCGTTGGCCCACCAACCCCTTTGCAAGCCCAGCCCAGCTACCTCTGTTCCAAAGGCTCCGGCCTCTGCGACAGCAACAGGTAGTTGTCTTGCTTCTCGTGGGCCGCCGGCGCCTGCGGTGGAGAGATCGGCTCGTACGACTCCGAGGAGACGTGGCTTCTCTCGGGGGACTTCCCAAGCCTGGGGGGTGGGGGGGTGGGGAGACACACAAGCGACAAAAGTCACACTTTTATTCAGAATGCGAACTTCCCCGGGGGCAGACTCCAGCCAGAAACGATCAGTTCAGCAAAAGCTAAAAAGAAAGGATTACGCGATGGAGTGCGGGGAGTCCTCGACTTACGAACGTAACTGAGGCTGAAACTTCTGTGGCTAAGGGAAAACATTTCTGCAGTGGGTTTTGCCCCGTTTGACGACCTTCCGTGCCAGGCTTATTAAGTGACTGAATGCAGTTGTTAAGTTAGTAGCACGGTTGTAAAGTGAATCAGGGAGGGAGGGAGGGAGGGATTGAGGGAGGAAGGGAAGGAGAGGGAGGGACAAAGGGAGGGAGGGAAGATGGAAGGAAGGAGAGGGAGGGAAGAAGGGAGGAAGGGACTGAGGGAGGAAGAAGGAAGGAAGGAAAGAAGGGACTGAGGGAGGGAGGGAGGGAGGGAAGGAAGAAGGGAGGGAGGGACTGAGGGAAGGAAGAAGGGAGGGAGGGACTGAGGGAGG